TTTTTTTTTTTTTTTTTTGGTGCTCATGTGTGTGGACGTACCATAGATCCTCATCAATTTTGAAATTTGTAGTTTTCAGGTGACCTTTTTTTGTAGACTTGTATTTCTTGAACCTTGTTCTTGGGCTTGCCCTTGATGAAGAAAGTTATTGTTATTATTTCTCTAATGTTGTAACTTTCTTACTTTGGAACTGCGATCACAAGATTGTCGACTAGGTTTTGTCACCATTGATGTATAGAAGTAGAGTCGTTAAACGAAATGAGTCGTTCGTAAGTTTAAACTCATTAAGATTTGAGCTCGTTTAGTTAACGAGACGAGCTCAACTCAGTACGTCAAGACTTGAGAATAAATAGAGATTTTTACTAATTTCCTAATCTTTTTTCGTATATCCGCTCGTAAATGAGCTGAACTCGAGCTCGTTTATCGGCTCGTTAACGAGCTTTAATTGATAAGAGCTCGAGTTCGAAGTCCGAAGTCCGAGCTGGAGTATCAGGAGTATAAGCTCGACTTAGCTAAGCTGCAAGTATAAGAAATGAAATCATGCCTTTCGTTAGAACTTTCATTATGGTCTTTCATTATAGTTGTTTTAAACTCATTATCATTTCAAAAACTTTTCATAATATATGTTATTATGAATTGCAATTTTTTTTTATTTTTTTCCTTAATAATAAAGTTAGAGGTGGGTGGTGAGTCAAGAAAATCCCATGAATCTCATTAATTATTTCACTATTTGTGATGATTTTAGGTTGAATTGGGTTATTAACTATGTAAGGGGCCAAAGCATATTTGTCCTGTGATAATAATTAATAGCAATAAATGTGATCATATCTTTTTTTATTTTATTTTTTCACTCACTGTGTGGTGTGGGATTTGATTTGAAATTATGAACATAACCAACGAAAATGTTACAATTCCGTTACAGAATCTTTCTGTTGAGATTTGTAACCGTTGGATACCATGCTACACTAATATAAATGTGCATCTAACGGTTACAAATCCCAACGGAATAGTTGATCCGTAACGGGACTACAGTCTTACCACATAACAAATATTTGAAATATCATTTCATTTCTCCACACACATATATATTTATACAGATGTGCCACTTTCACATATTTCAACATACAAGTGTTTTTATTAAATGATTAAAAAATAATACCAAGTAGACATGATAATGTTTATGACAATTGTTTGATATTTTTTAATAAATCAAAATCAATTGTTAAATTGATTGAAAATGATAACTGATATTTATTTATATAACTAATACAATGAAGCAATAAGTACGAACACATATAATGTACCGGAGTAATATAAACATTAATCAATATATTGTACGTTATCATTTTTAATTTTAATAATATGATAAATTATTCATATTTTTATAATATTAAATTGATTTGAAATATCAAATACTGGGCTGGCCGAGTCTTTCAGGGTCCATATTTTGGACAGATGTCCATAATAACAGGCCTACTCTTACTGGGCCGAACATAAAAAATGGCCTACTCAATTATAGGTCTTTATCGATATAAAGGCCCGGAGAATTTCCCAGAACTTATATATATTATTTGGAATTAATGACCCCCACTATCTATTTGTTTAGACAATTTATATAACTACTCCTTCTTA